CTGTTTTTGATCTCATTGATTTAAGCTCTTGTCCTTATAATTTATTTTCTTCTAGAGGCTGTAGGATTAGATTGTTCTTTTTCTATTTGATTTAAGGTGTTGAGTTTATCATTGATTTTTCTTCTTTCTTTCTTTCTTTTTTACAAGTGTGCCTTTTGCTAGGAACTGCCTTCTGAGGATTGCCTTAGCTCCATCCCAGAGGCTTTGTAAGTTGTAGTTTAATTTTCATTTGTTTCAAGGAACTTTAAAAATGTCAATATTTCTTTTATAACTCATTTATGTTCTAGCAGAGTTATTTAGCTTCTACACTGGTGGCTTTATAAGCTTTATCCTCTGTGGTTAATTTCTAGTTTTATGGCATTGTGGTCTGAGAAAATACTTTGTATTATTTCAATGTTTTTTAATTTGCTGAGGCTTGAATTGTGTCCTAATATGTGATCGATTCTGAAAAATGTACCATGTGCACTTGAGAAGAAAATGAATTGAGTTTTAGTTGTGTGCAGTACCCTGAATACATCCATAAGGTGAAGCTGGCTGAATGTATAGTTTAGATCTTCTGCACCTTTGTTGAGTTTCTTTTGAGTTTACCTATCCTTTGGTGATAGTGGTGTGTTGAAGTCTTCTACCACTTTTGTGGTTTTATTTCTTCTTCAAAGTACTTGAATGGCAAAACAGGAAGTCTATTCCCTTCCAGAAACTACATGTCAACCTGGTTCAGCCGGCCCCTTCATCTTGAGCTTAAGGGATTCCACATGGTGTAGCTAGACAGCAGTGTTTCACCCAAACCACCTGTGATATTGGTGCTTCTGGCACTGGACAGCAGGGGACACAGCTGGGCAGTGTCCAGGCAGTGGGGCAGTGGGATCTCCGGGTGGTAGGATTTCAGTCCAAAATTGCAGCCCCTTCACCTGGCAGACAATGGTTCTGTCACTGGTCAAGGTGTGAGTGCACCTGGACAGGGCCACAGCTATTAGTAGAAGCAGAGGAAGCCATGGCTGGAAAACACTCCCAGGCCAGACATGCCACATAGGCCTTGGCGTCTTGCCACCATTGTCTCTTGATCATATGTTGTTGCAGGAAATCTTGTGTGTTAGCTGGTTCTTTTTGGCATAGTAACTATGTATTCATTCTCTCTTCTTTTCATACATCTTGGGCTGATTTTAATGTACAATGTGGGGATGCCCTTAGATTATTTTCATGTATTATATGTGTGGGGAACTTAGAAGAGATGTATGATGTGTATGATGTAGAGGGTCCTTAGAAGAGGCGATTTTAGAGTATGATGTGGGAGGCCCCTAGAAGGGATGATTTTAGTGTACAGAAGGCAGGGGTCTTAAAACAATCATTGCTGGTCTTACTCAGAATAACCCTGGTGTAGGCTAAGGGCTTCTTGGTGGGCTAGGCTGAGTGTGTAAGCTGAGGTCTTGTTAGAGCATGAGACTGAGAAGAAATGAAAGGAGACAGAAGTGAACATAAAAAGCAATGATCGATTTATTACAATTGGTACATCTCTACAGGAATGGGCCAAGCCTCCTGGGGAAGGAAGTAGAGAAGGACGCAGGCTGCCATGAGGTGAGGTCGTCAATGTGACTTCCTCATCTGGGCTTGTACCTCTACCAGAAAACTGTAAATACAGCCAGGCACACGACTATCATGGCTCACGAAAGCTGCTTGGGAGGCTGGCTGGAATAGATCCATACTTGTTATAATTTCCACAAAGGTAATTCAATAGACTGTGGAAATTACTGAATATAATATCACATGCAAGCAGACTACCTCTGTTTTTCCTGTACTGCAGCAGTGGGACACTCGGCCACAACGCCATCAAGTCCTCTTCTGTGAAAACCATGGCCAAGAAAGGCCTCTGGGCAGTGGTCCTGGCCCATGAGTCACAGAAAGCACCCAACCACCAGGTATGCTGGACACAAGACTGATGAGAGGACAGAGGAGGTGGAAGGGGCCCATATGGCTGGCCACACTTCTCCTTTTTAGAGAGTGTTTTGCTTCTCAGGCTTTGAAACACAAGGGTCACCTCACCTCAGAGCATACCCCAAGAAGATGGTCTGATGCAGAGTCTCCCAGAGCACAGGGCCCCCCACCCCTCCTTCTGCAGCATGGTCAGGGTGCAGGGTGGTAGAGATGCAGGGTGGTCAGGGTTCAGGGTGGTAGGGGTGCAGGGTAGTAGGGCACAGGGTGGTAGGGGTGCGTCATGGTAAGGTTAAAGCCATTTTTTTTCCTTAGGAACCAGATCAAGAGGGATATTCAGAGGATAAAGTGGTATGAAATATAGCCAACTTAGCCTTCAATGAAACCCCAGGTCTTTGGAACAAGTTGCCCCAAGACCCTGGGGAATTAGACCATTCAGGCCTCTGGCCCAGCAGTCAGAGTAGGGTCCCAGGTAGGCAGCCTTCAGGAGACTTACCAGCATGGGATAAGGCTAGAGGACAGCAGTATGGGAAAGGATGGCAAAACTGAGATGGGTGGCCAGCCTGAGCTTACAGGTCTGCAGTGTCCAGCCCAAACCTAGACAACCCTGAAGCCTCTGTACTCCCTGACCAAGAGCCAAGTAGCCATCCCACCGACTCCCTTCCTCCAATGAAAACCCATGGTGGACAGGGGGTGTAGACTCTACATAGACTCCCTCCCTCCACTGCGCCCAGATGGACCAGGCAGTACACGCTTAGCCAGCTCTCTGTCTGCCATGTGTATGCACGCACAGCTTTCAACTCCTTCTTATGCTGCTCTTATCCTTGGGGGTTCAGCCATACTTTCTGTTCAGTGCCTGCTGGTTCCATTGAGGTAGGGTACACTCACATGTCAACATAAGACGCTTGGAGGATGTTTGCTACCAAAGAAAGAAGGAAGTCATGGATTATTCTGTTCTTACCCCTCTGGATGGGCTTTGGAAAGTCTTTAGGGATGTGGGGAAGGGAATTTTTGTTCTAAGGGCCACTGTGCTGCAGTAGTTGCTGGTAGGCTGCTGGGGTTCAAGTCCACCAGCTGTTGTTTGGAGAGAACTTTGTGCCTGTCCTCAGAGATTACAGCCTTGGGAACGTTAGTTCCCAGCAGTTGGAATTCATTCCACTAGAGAGGGTGTTAGGAAGCTATGGGGGCCTAGTGTTAAGAAGTTGCACTCCCAACCCAGAGGCAGGAGGTTTTAATCCAGCGGCTTCTCTGAGGGAGGAAGACTGGCGATCTCCTCCCAGTGTGATCCCAGGCCTCTGAAAACCCGCTGGAGGGTTAGCGCTGGGTCAGTTCTGATTGGATGGCACACAACAACGGAATGGTTATCACTCTTCCCCTACTTGGGTTTTGCACTTCAAAACCACAGAATTCCTGGTTATAAAATAGTTTCTATCTACAATCTGCTTAAGGAGAGCTGCAGTTCCAGCCCACCAGCTGTTCCTGGGGAGAAGTCCTGGTGGTCTGCTCAGCGAAGATGGCAGGACGCCTAGCAGCTCTAAGGGGCACTTCTCCACTGTGCCACCTTCTGGCTTTGTCAGACAGTGCGAACAGAGCGCCGGAGATGACTTCTCCAGGTGAGAAAGTTAAGACACTCTTGGCTTGGCAGTTGCAGCTTAGTGCGGTGCCCCTGGATTCACTGACATCCTGCCCCTTCTACCCACCATAGCACCTTCACCCCTCCTTCAGAGACCCCTCCTTCCTTCAAGGGCTCTGACCCTAGCATTCCCAGACTGCTCACCCTGTCCAGCCCCATTCTCAGACTGTGCCTGTGTTCCCTCAATGTTTTGGCCGCCTCACTGCCCGCACATTCCTTTGCTTCTGGGACCACTCTCGTCCTCGCAAGGCTGCCCGCCATCCGGGCTGCCCTCTGGGAGTTAGGGGTTCAGACACTATGTGTGCCCCCAAAGTCCCACCAGTGTGTGGATGCAGGCAAAGCATGGCCTGTGGAGCGATGCCCTCCCCATGCCCGCGGGTGCTGTGGTGGACCAGGGTCCTGCACCCCAGGAGGACACTCTGGTGCTGGCAGAGCGAGCGAGCACGCACCCCTATCCTCGGGCCGGCTCCGTGGGGTCTCGGGGCGAGCCGCTCACAGACGTTAGCAGGGAGTTAGTGTCTGTTAGGGGAACGCTCTTGGAAGTGGGCCTTCGAGAAGCTAGTGGTTGTGGGAGGCCGCTGCCTCCCTCCCAAGCTGGGGCTTCGGCAAGGAGGGTGCTGGCCACACAGGAGGACGAGGTGCCCGGTTCCTGAGCGCCTTGTTCCCAGGAAGGCCACTGGAAGCACCGAGTGAGAAATCGCCAGGTGAAGAGTTGCCAGGCAAGGGGTCTGTCTCCTTGGCGACTTCGGAGCGCAAGCCTCTGCAGTTGACATGGAAGCAGCCGCGTGAGGCGCCAGAGCGCAGCTCATTGGCCCCTAACAGACGCGTGACTGACACCCACTGTGGCCCTTCGCTGGCCACTTGGGCGCCCGCCACCGGGTTGACCTCAGTATAATTGCAGATGTGCAAACGAGTTAGCTCCGAGGAGAGTAGCCTGGGGCTCCAGGCAGGCTTGGGGCCTTCTGTGGGTTGGGGGTGTACAATTTTCCTTGAGCGGAGGCACCTGCCACCCTTCAGGAGCCCTGGTCCCTTCATCCCTGTATAAGAAATGAGTTTCGGAGCTGGAGGAGACTGAATGTGGACATGTAGTTTTAGACCTCAATGAATTGGGGATTGGCATATCTCCTTACAGCCCTCAGTCAGGACGTGGAAGAACACCACAGAACTCTCGTCAACATTTGGTTTCAGGCAGTTTGAATCTCTTGCTAAAGTCCACAATTTGGTTCCAAGCAGTTTTGACCTTTGCGCAGTGGCTTGCTTGTGTGCATGCGCCCGGGCAGCCCTAAGGATAATGGCTGGTGCTTCTCTCTGGATGGAGCCGAACTTGGGTCTTTATAGGGACCACGCAGCCACCAGGCGGCAGGGAAGGGTTCTGGTGCAGCGGTGGGTTAGGCTAATTGACATGTTCCTCCTCCTCCACAGCCCCCAGTAGAGACAGGCCATGCGGCGGAACAGCTCCAAGATTGGCGTGGTGGTGGCCCCAGTGGCTGGGACGCACGACGCCTGTCAGATGATCAGTCGAGCCCAGTTGGGTCAGGATGCGCCCCAGAGGACTGTGCTGGGGGTGCTGACGGAGAACGTGCAGTTCCGAAGGGCTTGCTGTCAGGTAACCAGGGTCAGGGGTCGGTCCGGGGCACCTCTGTGGTGTTTCAGTTTCTCTCTCCATGAGGCTTCTGGTACGGGGGTACAGAGAGAGGAATAGGGTTAGGGTTAGGGTTAGGGTTAGGGTTAAGAGCATCTTAATGGATTGCCTTTTCCATTAGAAGTTAATACTTTTCCATTTCCTACAGTCAAGGAAATAAGACTAGAATGTGTTTGGATTGAATTCAGGCAGTCTCTGCGTTCTCACCAAGCCTCTGACTCAGTGTGGTACAGACCTAATGAGGGCCCACTGCTCACTCCTCCGTGGAGACCGGGTGCAGACAGAGCCCCTTGTAACCAGCCGAGTCCTTTATGACTGTAATCATGCAGTTAGGAGAAACATGACTTGGTGTATTGGTGTATGGTTTCTTAATGTATAGATAGGTAACCTGATACTAAGACAAATACAGGGTAGAAAGAAGACAACAAAACAGATGTCAGAAGAGACCCTGACAATTGCACTAGAAGTTGAGATTCCAGAACAAAGGAAGAGTAATAAAGGATCTGGACAGAAGATTTCAGAGGGCATCTGGAGAGGACAAGCGGAGACCTAGGATCGGAGAGTAGAATAGAAGAACTCCCTTAGCATTTCTCAAGCTGAAAGAACTGAAAACCACTCACGCTTCGAGTTGCAGTACTTAGAGAGGCTATGGGCAAAATCTTGAATGATCCAGGAAGCATCAAAATAAGATGGAAGGAATATACAGAGTTATTGTATAAAAAAAGGACTGGTGGATGCTAAAAAATTTCACGAAGTACCATATGATTAGGAACCAGTGGTAATGAAGGAAGAATTACAAGCTGAATGAAAATGTTAGCAAAAAATAAGGGTCCAAGAATTGATGGGATACCAACTGACATGTTTCAAATGATAGGTGCAACCCTGGACATGCTCAACCAGATGAAACTAGGAAATATGGAGAAGAGCTTGCCTGGCTGACTCATTAGAAAAGATCCATATTTGTTCCTACTCCAAAGAAAGATGATACAATGTAATGTGGAAAATATCAAACCATATCATTATTATAAAAAAACAATATTGCTTGCACTACAGTGCAAGCAAAATATTGCTATCATTAAAAAGCAAGTGATTGTGAAGACCTCTTGCTATGCTTCAGAGAGCTGGACAATGAGGATGATAGAAAGAGAAGGCTTTTGAGTCGTGGACTGCTAGGAGAATAAACAGGTTCATCCTGGAGAGGGTGAAACCAGGCTGCTCCTTGGAGGCAAGGATTTTGAAGCTCTGTCTCACATACTTGAGACATGTTGACAGGAGAGACCAGTCCTTGGAGAGCATCATGCTTGGAAGGGAAAAGGGACAACACAAGAGAGGAAGACCCTGTATGAGATGAACTGACTCAGTGACAGGGGTAATGGGGTAGGTGTGTCAGAGACAATGAAATTGGCTCAAGACAGAGCAGGGTCCAGAGCTGTTGTACCCAGGGTAGCTATGATTTGGAGTTGACTCAATGGCACATAATAATAACAACATTTAAAATTGCTAGAATAGTACATAGATAACTGACAGATACTCAAGCTGGCTTTATAAGAGGTGTAGTAGGCACCAGAGACAGTATTGCTGATGTCAGATGGATCCTGGCTGAAAGCAGAGTAAAGAATACCAGAAGAATGTCTATTTGTGCTTTGGAAAGGCACAGATACTGACTATGCAAAGACATTTGGCTGTGTGGATCATAACAAATTATGGCTAACACTGAGAAGGATGGTAATCTTAGAACACTTAATGTGCTCATGTGAAACCTATATCTAGGCCAAGAAGCTGTTATACGAACAATACTACATGGTTTAAAATTAAGAAAGGTATATGTTAGAGTTGTAACCTTTCTCTATACTTATTTAAACTGTGTGTTGAAAGAATTATTCAAGAAGATGGTCTCTATGAAGAAGAATGTGGCATCAGGATTGGAGGGAAACTCATCAGTAACCTTCATTATGCAGATGACACAACTTTGGGAAGTGAGGAAGGCTTGAAGAACTTGTTGCAGAAGATCAACACTGTAGCCTTCAATATGGATTGCATCTCAACATCAAGAAGACAAAAATTCTCACCACTGGACCGATAGACAATATCATAATAGATGGAGAAAACTTTGAAACTGTCAATTATTTCATCTTACGTAGATCTACAATCAACATCCTGGGTACCAGCAGTCAGGAAATCAGAAGATGTGTCACACTGGGAAAGTCTGCAGTCAGGGACCTCTTAGGGAGGACCAATTATGTTAGTCTGAGGGTGCACCTGATTTAGACCAGGGTCTTTTCATTCAAAACTTGCTATGCATCTCAGAGCTGGGCAATGAATAAGGATGATAGAAAAAGTATTTATACCTTTGAACTGTGGTGTTGGAGAAGAGTACTGAATATCCCATAGACTGACAAAAGAACAAACAGACATTTCTTGGAGAACAAGCAGCCAGAATGCTCCTTGGAGGCAAAGATGATAAAGCATTGTCTCACATATTTGGGGCTTGTTGCTAAGAGAGGCTGTTCAATGGAGAGGGATATCATGCTTGGAAAAGTGGAGGAATGGTGAAAGAGAGGAAGACCCTCGACCAAGTGGATTGACACAGTGACTGCAGCAATGGGCTCAAGTGTGCCAGAGATGGTGAGGATGACACAGGATAGGACAGGATTCAGATCTAATGTTTATAGAATTGCTGTGAGTCATACTTGAAAGCACTTAACAACAAAACAAGAACAACGTGATAATGTCAGTATTCTTTGCCAACACCACAATGCAAAGTTATGATTTCCTCTGTATTCCTTATTCATTGTTCAATTTTTAATGCATAAGAACACTCTTGGTACCAGATGCCAGGAAATTAAAAGACAAATAGCATTGGAAAAGTCTGCTGTCAGAGACCTCTCCAAAGTACTGAAGAGCAATGATGTCACTCTGGAAACTAAGGTGTCCCTGTTACAGGCCATGATCTTTGCAATTACTTGCTATGCATCAGAGAGCTGGACAATAACTATGGATGATAGAAGGATAAATGATGCCTTTGAGTTGTGGTGCTGGAGAAGAGTATTGAATATACCATGGACTTCTAAGAGAACAAACAGTTTCATCCTGGAGAGGGGGAAGCCAGGCTCCTCCTTGGAGGCAAGGATTCTGAAGCTTCATCTGACATACTTTGGACATGTTGCAAGGTGGGATCAGTCCTTGGGGAGGGACCTCACGCTTGGGAAGGTGGAGGGACAGTGCAGGAGAGGAAGACCCTCGATGAGATGGATTGATTCAGTTACCGGGGTAATAGAAATAGGCGTGCCAGAGACAGTAAGATTGGCAAGGGATAGAGCAGGGTTTAGGGCTGTTGTACATAGGGTTGTTATGAGTCGCAGGCAAGTCGATGGCACATAACAAAACAACAACAAAAAGAAGAAAGAATTAGGAATACCGTGGTTTGGGGCATGTGCACCTTAGTCTTTGCTGTGACATGTTTGCTCTTTAGCACTTTAAAGAGTTCCCTGACAGAAGATTTTCCCACTGCAGCATGCCTTTGTATTTATTGAATGAAGATTCCATGGGTGCTGATTGTGGGTCCATGTAAAAGGAAATCCTTGAGAACTTCAGGCTTTTCTCCATTTTTCCTCTTGTTGCCTATGTGTACAATCTTCAGGATTTTGGTTTTCTTGCTATTGTGGTGCAAACTGTGCTGATGGCTAGGGAATCCTTGACCTTCTTCATGTGGTCTTCACTTGCAGTTAGCATATCACATATTGTTGGCAATTTCCTCTTTAATCCCGATGCTATATTCTACTTCCTAAAGTATAGCTTCTCAGGTTATTTGCTCAGAATACAGATTGAGTAAGTATGAAGAAAGGATGACATCCTGACACAGTTTTCCTGATTTTAAGCCATGTAGTGTCCCCTTGATCTGGTAAAACTACAACTTCTTGGTCTATGTATAACTTCCGCATGAGCTCAATGCAATGTTCTGAAATTCCCATTTTCTCAATGTTATCCATCATTGGGTATGGTCCAGTCTACACAGCCTTTGCATAGTCAATGAAACACAAAGAAACATCTTTCTGGTACTCTCTGCTTTCAGCTAAGATTTGTCTGGCATCAACAATGATATCCTTTGTTTGACAGCATTCAGTGTGAATTTCTGGCAGTTACCTCTTGAGATACTGCTCCAGCCATATTTAAAGCCATCTTCAGTAGGATTTTACTTGTGTGTGATATTAATAATATTTCTCAACCATTCCTGCATTCTGTTGGATTACTTTTTTACTGTATGGGCCTAAATACGGATCTCGTCTAGTCACAGGAACCAGGTTCATGCTGTCTTTTAGTTCTTTGGACATTTGTTTTCATAGATCATTGATTTTCTTCACTCATTCTTGCTCCATTGCATTTTAGATGCGTGCTCACAAGCTTTTGAGACCAGGACTCCACTGACCTTGTAAACTGCATGGCAGTAACCTGTGGTTCATGTACGCTGACCTTGTGCACCATGTGGTGGTTACCTAAGGTTCATGTACACCGACCTTGGGCACCACATGATGATAACCTGTGGTTCACATACACTGACTTTGTGCACCACGTGATGGTAACCTATTGTTCACATACACCAACCTTGTGCACAAGGTCAGTTAGGAGTCTCTACTGACATCCATCTCGGGTTTTTCTTCTTCCTCTCTCTTTGCAATGATCTCCTGTTTTCTTCATGGATGATATACTTGATATCCTCCCACAGCTAAACTGATCTCCATTCATTAAAGTTCAAGGCTTCAAACCTGTCAGGGACCTCTCCAGAGTTCTAAAGAGCAAATATTTCAATTTAGATACTAAGGTGCATCTGATCCAGGCCATGGTCTTTGCAATTACTTTCTATGCATCTGAGAGTTGGACAGTGAACAAAGATGAATGAAGAATTTATGCCTTTCAGTTGTGGTGCTGGATAAGAGTATTGAATATACCATGGACAGCCAAGAGAACAAACATGTCTGTTCTAGAGAGTTGCTCTTTGGAGACAAGTATTTTAAAGCTTTGTCTGACATATGTTGGGCATATTAGCCAGTCCTTGAAGAATGACATCATGCCTGGAAAGGTGGAGGGACAATGAGGAGAGGAAGACCCCAGGGACAGTGGGGAGAGGAAGAACCCAGATGAGATACACTGAAGAAGTAACTGTGATAATGGAGTTAGATGTGTCAGAGACAGTGAGATTGGCCCAGCACGGAGCAGGGTTCAGACCTGTTGTACTTAGGGTTGCTGTGAGGCACAGGTGATTTGATGGCATGTAACAACACCATAACAATGTTTTTCTCACTAGTTGTGAGTCCATTGAATTGTCATATGGAAGCACTCACTAACCTTAGGGGGAAGCCTCTATTTTCTCAAGCTGCCCCATGAGACAGAACAACACGGACCCAGACATTTTTCTAGGCTCCTCTTTCCTGAAGCAAATCATGACGCTTTTAGTTAGCACATTGTACCACCAAAACCCCTTAAAATGCCATGACAGTAAGTCATTTCTGATTCCCAGCAACCTTAAGGAACGCGGCAGAAATGCCCAGAGCGTGCGTCTCTGCTCTTCTCTGCAGAACAGCTGTTGGGTTTGGACTCCTGACCTTTGGCTTGTTTGCCAAGCGCTTTAGCCATTGTGCTAGCACCTTGGACCTTGACATGGGAGGGGGTGCTCTCTGCCTTTTCTTCTTCTGGTTTGAGTCAAGATGACACCTTTGTCTACCTGCTGGCCTTGGTGGTGACCTCTAACCACAAGCCGAACCCTCTGGCAGGGCCTCCCGTTAATCAGATACTTCTCTGGAGCAGAAAATGCCTTTCCTGTAGCGGGAACAAAGATGTGCTCCGACTCTGCTCTCCACGTGCCGCCAAAGCAGGGCTTTGATGTTCACATGGCTGAGCCTCAGCTGGGAGATGGCGGCAGCTGCTCTGGACGAGAGGAGGTAACCTTCGAGGAGGTGTATCAGGTGGATGCCAGTGTGCACAAGTCAGGCCTTCACTTCCTGCTGGACTTCGGCACAGGTAAGGGCAGCCAACTGTCACTGTGAGGACCATATTATTAAAAAGGGTGCTGACTGCTGGAGCATGGCCTGTGAGGGCAGTGGGTGGCCATGGACTACCATGTTTATTTAAATCAGAACAGATTTTTACGTTACTTTGTTATGATGAAACTCATATCCCAATAAATCCTTGCCATTTTTACCTTGTTTTTTGTGTGATGGTGGTTTGAGTAAAAGTTTACAGAGAAGACTGGTTTTCCATTGAACACTGACTCAGTGCTTGTTTGCCAAACAGGAGCGCTATCCCTCACCTGACCTCTGTTCTGTTGATCCGACAGCTTCCCCTATGCTGGTGGACACCTCCCTCTGCTCCCAGGCTGAAGAGGTGCCTGACTTGAGCACAGATATGCTGAATGTGGCCGAGTATGCGGAGGACATCCATAGATACCTCAGAGAGGCCGAAGTGAGTTTCTGTGGCCAGGGAGTACTCGCTGGAGGTGCCCTAGGGTCAGTGCTGACCACTGAGCAGAACCTGTGTCAGTGAGCAGAACTGTCTGAAGGTTCCCAGGATGAAATAGTCATGGAAGCAGTCTGTCTCCCTGGTCTCCCCATCAGTGGCCTGCCTCATCTATGGTTTACACTCTCAGCTCGGCTGGAATGCTCAGTCCTGTACCCTGGTTCCCTCCAGGAAGGAGTGGATCTGCCCTGAAGGGCTCCCAAGCTGCACCGTTAGGCGACGGGTCACCCACCTTTACCCTCAGAGCCACTGGGTGACTTTTCCATGGAGCAGCCCTCACCTGGTGAACACACATTGTGGTTGTGTACCATCTAGTCAGAACTGAGCCATAACTGATCCTGTAGTGGGTTTTAAGAGGCAGTAAATCTCACAGGAAAAGACTGCCCATACTTCTGTAGAGCCTTTGAGATTGCAGTGCAATGACTTAGCACGAGGCCATCAAGTGCCCTGCTGCAGGCTCCTGGCCTGGACTCTGTGTAAATAGGAGGCTGTAACCACCAAGGACGTTCTGGTGATGGATTGGAAGATGACACATGCCTGTGAGGGTGAGGCCACTAGGTAACCAGCCTCTTTCATGTTCAGGGGCCACTCACGCTGCCCCACCCCCCTTTCTGTCTCTGATGATGCTGCGGCCTGGCCTGTGTGCTCTTGCTCTCCAGGCCTGTGTCCAGTCCCGTACAGGCCCTGGCTGGTTGGAGGTTAGGCCTTTTGACCCTTGGGGTTTGTCCACTGACCTCAGAAGTAGGTCACCAGCTTTCCTTTCTTGTGTGTGTCAATCTGGAAGCTCAGCTGAGAGCTACTCAGCATCCTGGTCCCACACAGACCTCCACTGACAGATCCCAAGGTGCCCTGGCCAAGATTGAACCCAGGTCTCCTAAATGGAATTCCCATACTTGACTCCTAATTGTAAAAGGCATTTCCAATCTCACTTGTCACAGTAAGTTGAGCTGACTCTTGGGCTTCTGAGGGTCTGAAGAGAACAGCCGTATCCCTGGAGGACAGTGATGTGGAGACCAACCTTTCCCCACACAGGTCCGGCTCCGGCCCAAAGCGCACTACATGAAAAAGCAGCCGGACATCACTGAGGGCATGCGGGCCATCCTGGTGGACTGGCTGGTAGAGGTGGCTGAGGAGTACAAGCTCCGGGAGGAGACGCTGTACCTGGCTGTCAATTTCTTAGACCGCTTCCTCTCCTGCATGTCAGTCCTGCGGGGCAAGCTACAGCTGGTGGGCACAGCGGCCATCCTGCTGGCCTCGTAAGTGACCCCATGACTCAGGAGCAAGGGGGCTGGCATATTGGGACAGTGGGGTCCTGCTTTGTTCCAGCTTTTTAAAGAACTGCACTGCTGCCCTTTAAGACATTTTCAGGTGTCCTTTGGTAATGGATGGTCAGCTTGGCAGGACAGACCAAGATGAGGATGTAGCACAGGGCCTTCTGTCTTGGGAAGTGTATGATGGGGAGTGAGGTGGGCTTGGCTAGGCCCAGGCTTAACTACCTGCTGTCCTGTTCACCTGCTGCATGCTTGGTTACTATCTAAGAAGTCATCACATAAGAGTCTAGCTAGTGTCCGTGAACCAGATGATGGGAGGCTGAGCAGTGCCTTGGCTCATCCTTTTCTGAACAGCTCAGCTCCAGGCAGCCAACCATCTATGCCAGCAGCTCCATTTTTGCAGCCCGTGGTCACTTCCTGCCTCTGGATCTCTTTCTGGCTATTCTTGCAACATTGCAGACCTTTTCCTTCTCCTGTCTCACCCGTCACAGAGGACAGTCTGTTGTAAATGCAACACTTATGTGCACTGTTACTCCCTTCGTCACAGGAGTGGCTCTCTCATCAAAGTTGGGCCTGAACCTGCAGTGTGACCGAGGTCAGCCTAGGGCTCCCTCCTGCCTTCCTCATCTCGGATGCTCTATTGTTCATGCCTGGAAAGCTATAAAATCTTCTCCAGAGAAAGAGAAACAGAATAATTTAGAGTTGTTGTTGTTGTTGTTGTTGTATGCCTTTTGATTGGAACCCACTCATAGCTGACTTTCCAGGGGAATTTCAGAGGCAGTAAAGTGCAGGGGGGGAGATTGCCCATTTTTCTCCCATGGAGCAGCTACTGGATTTGAAAGCAGGCCTTTGGGTTGACAGTGCAGCTTCATACCACTAATCCACCAGAGCTCAATTCAGAATAGGTGAATGTTATCATCTGCCTCTTGGACATGCAGCATCATTTCACTAATTCAACAGAAAAGGTGAAACATGACTTTTAAAAATATTAAGATCTGAGGCTCTTTTTCTTGTTCATCAAAAAGAACATCTTCCTCCACAAAATTATTTTAGTGTCTGGCATTAATAAGGCCTTATCTGCACTGTCACCAGAATCTTGCTCAGTGTTTGGGGCCCAAAGCTAACTTCTCTGCTGAAAATAATCTGCATACTGCTCACAGTTGTGCACATAGAACATGATTTGTGTACTGCACACAGTTATGCATGTAGAACGTGATCTGCATACTGCACACAGTTATGCATGTAGAACGTGATCTGCATACTGCACACAATTATGCATGTAGAACGTGATCTGCATACTGCACACAATTGTGCACCTACAACATGATCTGCATCCTGCTCACAGTTGTGTATGTAGAATGTGATCTGCATACTGCTCACGGTTGTATCATAGAACATAATCAGCATACTGCACACAATTATGCACCTAGAACATGATCTGCATACTGCACACAGTTGTGCATGTAGAATATGATCTGCATACTTCTCACAAGTGTCCACATAGAACTTAATTGGCATAATGCTCATAGTTATGCATGCAGAATGATCTGCATAGCACACACAATTGTGCACCTAGAACATCATCTGCATACTGCACACAGTTGTGCAAGGACATTGTTCTTGTTGAATGTCGTCAGGTTCTGACATCGGACCAGTGAGGCAGTAGACTGGCCTGGGGGTTTGTGTGAACGATCACCATGTGGCTCTCCTGTTAGCACCACTGCCCCACCAGGGCTCCTCATGGTTGGGAAATGTGCTTTGTGTGTTCATAGTCCCTGCCCCTTGGTGAGATTTGAGGGACTTTGCCAGAATGCCATGGTACATAATGTCATCCCTAGTCTACACAGCAGTGAAAGGGTGTGTGTGCACACAGGGTGCCCGAGTCTGCAAGGCCAGGCATGGACTGCAATTGCCAGCTTGGGCAGCGACATATCCCAGTCTTTCCTACTCCACAGGAAATATGAGGAGATCTACCCACCTGAAGTGGATGAATTTGTCTACATCACAGATGATGCCTACACCAAGCGACAGCTACTGAGGATGGAGCACCTGCTTCTGAAGGTGCTATCCTTCGACTTGACAGTGCCCACTACCCACCAGTTCCTCCTTCAGTACCTGAGGACACAGGGGATGTGTCACCGCACAGAGAACCTGGCCAAGGTAGGCACCTCACCCGACCCAGGCACCAAGCAGGTTGTCCTCCCTCATAAGTCTTTATACTGGGCTTGGAAAACAAGCACTCGAGGAGAGCAATCCCTGGGCCTGGAACCTTCTTAGCACTCGGGGAGAACAGACTTGGGAGGGAAAGCCCTGTTGGCACAGTGGTTAATATACACAACTAGTACCTGAAAGGTCAGTGATTCCACCCACCCACAAGTCAAGAGAAAGAAGAAACCTTCTGCTAGGGTACTTGTCTGTAGTTTTAAATGGTCAAGGTAACAAAGGACACTGCCATGCAGTCCCCTCCACAGTTGGGCTTGTCGCCTGAAGCCCAGTGCCCTTCTCTCTTGTGCTGCAGTACGTGGCCGAGCTGAGCCTCCTTGAAGCTGATCCCTTCTTGAAGTACCTCCCTTCGCTGATTGCTGCTGCTGCTTTCTGTTTGGCAAATTATACCATCAACAAGCGCTTCTGGGTAAGGCTTCAGATGTGTGCCTTGAAGCTCCGGAGCTCCAAGGTCTATTCAGGAACTCCCATGCTCAGAGACCTGGCTTAATGGGGGCTGGCTGGTTTTTACAGCAGTAGCCCTTGGCACAGTGAAGCACTGGGCTGAATAATCCTGTGAAGGTTACAGCCTTGCCCATCCAGTGGGGCAGCTCTGTGTCCGACAGGGTTGCTGTGAGTCAGGATCTCAGGATCGCCTTGCGTGTGGCATCTTGTCAGCAGATCGCAGCACATGACTGAGCCTCAGGCCAGCCTCATGACCTTGGTGCTCAGCAGGAGTCCTGATTGCATAGAGTACAGGGGACAATTAGGTGGACCATATACCAAGGGCAGACCCAGGCATTCACCACGGAGAGCCCTGAGCCCTGTGACCTGTGACCCACAGTTCTTCACTAAGGGAAGACTTAATTCCATGACTCATGACTATTCATTAAGGGGAGATCAGAGTCCTGTGACACATGATCATTCACTAAGGAAACACCTGAGCCCCTTGACCCGTGGTCATTCATTAAGGGGAGATCTGAGCCCTATGACCCCTGACATTCACTAATTTGAGTTTTTACATCTCCAGTGAGCTTAGCTCTAGGTCACTAAGGGGAAAGCCAAGTCCTGTGACTCATGGCTGAGCAGGGCAGGCCCTGGTAGCAAAGTTCCTAATTCCTTGGAGCCACATCGCTGCCCACCACCTTGATGTAAGTGAAAACTAGACCTACCTGAGGGCAGAAGGGCTGGCTGGTACCCAGCCCCCTCCCATGGTTCTTGTCATGGCCAGAAGAGTTGCACCCTGATAGAACAGACACTGCTTAACTGAGAGCAGATGAAGTATTGAGGGATAGAAACGGGACGACATCAGAGTGACAGCTGCTACCTGGATGTGCAGACGATGTGATCTCACTCTGTTGGAGGGGTGCCAGGGACTGGGAATCCATCCCTCTGAAAGACCACCAGGGAGGTCCATACAGGCTAGCAAAGGTTGAGAACTTGGGAGCGCAGATCCTTAATGTGGAATGGGACCAGGGGACCATTCAGAGGGGTATGTCCCCTGTTTATTACATGTGGTCCAAGGACAGACAAGTGTTTCTGTTGTGGTGTTGTTGTTAGGTGCCATCAAGTCCAGTATGACTCATAGCAACCCTATGAACAAAAGATCTGAACCCTGTTCTATCCTGTGCCGTCCTCACATTTCCTGACACACATGAGAGCCTGTTGCAGCAGTCACTGCGTCAATCCACCTGGTTGAGGGTCTTCCTCTCCTTTGCCAAACCTCCACACTTCCCAGTATTATGTCCCCTCCAAGAAATAGCCCCTCCTAGCAACATGTCCAAAGTATGTGGGGCGAAGCCTCATCATTCTTGCCTCCAAGGAGCATTCTGGCTGCACCCTCTCCAAGACATATTTTTTTTTCTCTTGGCCATCCATGGATGTTCAGTGCTCTTCTCCAACACCATAGCTCAAAGACGTCAATTCTTCCTTCTTATGTCATCCTTATTCATTGTCAATCTCTCTCAGATGCACAGCAAGTGATCAGAAAGACTGTGGCCTGAATCAGACACACCTTAGTCCCAAACTGTCATCATTAGTCCTCAATAATTTGGAGAGATCCTTAACTGCAGATTTTCCCAGTACAGTGCTTCTCCTTATTTCCTGACTGCTGGTACCAAGGGTGTTAATTGTGGATCCAATTAAGATGAAGCTGTTGACAGTTTCAATTCCTTCCCCATCCATCATGATGTTGCCTATCAGTCCAATGGTAGGAATCTTTGTTTTCTTGACAATAAGATGCAATCCATACTGAAAGCTGCATTCCTTCATCTTCTGCAGCAAGTGCTTCAAGTCTCCTCACTTTCAGCAAGCAAGGCTGTGTCCTCTGCATAATACGGATTATTGATGAAGACAATACAAGGAAGCCCTGTTAACACAACTATTATTCAACCATACACCTACATCTGGAGCCAAAGAGAAAGAAATGAGAAATTTTACCAAATCTTGCCTTCCAAAATGGACCAAACCTGCAATCAAGATTTGTCAATGATAATTGGTGACTGGAATGCAAAAGTGGGAAACAGTGAAGAAGGAACAGTAGTTGGAAAATATGGCTTTGGTGATAGAAATGAGGCTGAAAATTGGATGATTGAATTTTTCATTTGCAATGATTTATTCATTGCAAAGGCCTTGTTTAGAAGATACAAGCAATGACTTTACACATGGGCACCACCTTATAAACAGCATAGGAATCAGATTGACTATATTTGTGAAAGAAATTGTTGGAGAAGCTCAATATCGGCAGTCAGAATAGGCCAGGAGTGGACTGTGCGTCAGACCATCAACAACTCACATGCAAGTTCAAACTGAGGGAGAAGAAAATGAAAATAAGGCCACAGGAACACAAGAATCAATTCCATCTGAATTTCAAGAACATCTTAGGAATAAGTTTGAGGAATTTGAACCAGTGATCAAAAATCAGACGAGTTGTGGGATGATATAAAAGATATCATCCATGAAGAAAAGTGAAGGGTCATTACAAAAACAGAGGAGAAAGAAAAAAAATCTAAATGGATGTCAGAAGAGACTGTAGCCTCAAGAAGCCAAAACAAAAGGAAAGCATGCTGAAGTCAAAGAACTGAACAGAACATTTCAGAGGGCAGCTAGGGAGGACAAAGCAAAGTATCATAATGGAATGTACAGAGAGCTGGAATTGGAGAATAAAAATGCACTCTGCATTTTTCAAGCTGAGAAAACTGAAAAATGAATTTAAGCCTTGTATCTTAGTATTGAAAGATGCTATTCAATATATTGAATGACCCAGAAAGCATTAAAAGAAGATGGAGGGAATATGTATAATCACTATATCAGAAAGAACTGATTGACACTGAAAACTTTCAGAAAGTACCATAAGAACAGGAGCCAATTGGTAATGAAGGAGGAAATGGAAGCTCCATTGAAGGCATTGGCAAAAAAATATTATCTTAGCATGTTGTTGTTGTTGTTGTTGTTATGTGCCATCAAGTCACTTGCTCCTCATAGTGACCCTATGCACAACAGCCCTAAACCCTGCTCTATCCTGTGCCAATCTCACTGTCTGAGACACACCTACCCCCATTACCCCAGTCACTGAATCAATCCACCTCATAGAGGATCTTCCTCTCCTGCGCTGTCCCTCCACTCTCTCAAGAGTGACGTCCCTCTCTAAGGACTGATCCCCTCTTGCAGCATGTCCAAAGTATGTCAGACGAAGCTTCAGAATCCTTGCCTCCAAGGAGCAGCGTGATTTAACTCTCTTTAGGACGAACCTGTTTGTTCTAGCAGTCCATGGTATATTCAATACTCTTCTCCAACACCACAGCTCAAAGACATCAATCCTCCTTCTATCATCACTAGTCATTTTACAGCTCTGTCGCATAGCAAGTGATTGCAAAGACCATGACCTGGATCAGGTGCGCCTTAGTCTCCAGAGTGACATCATTACTCTTCAGTACTTTGGAGAGCTCTCTAACAGTAGACATTCCTATTGCAATATGTCTTTTAATTTGCTGGCTGCTGGTATCAAGAGTGTTGATTGTGGAGGCAAGCAAATTAAAGCTGTTAACAATCTCAATTTCTTCATCATCTGTCATGATGCTGCCAGTCAGCCCAGTGGTGAGAATCTTTGTTTTCTTTATATTGAGCCTTAATCCATACTGAAGGCTGCAGTCCTAGACCTTCTGCAGCAAGTGCTTCAGGTCCTCCTTAGTTTCAGCAAGTAGGGTTGTGTCATCTGCATAATGCAGATTGTTGATGAGTCTTCCTCCAGTCCAGATGCTTCTTTTCTCCTCGTGAAGCCCAGTCTCCCGCATAATCTGTTCTGCACATAGATTGAAAAGGTATGGAGATAGTACACATTAAGGACACATTACTGGTATAAAGAAGGTAAAACCCCCACATGAATGATTTCTTTTACAATGATTAATCCAAGACCAATTCAGAGAGTTCTGGTGGCTTCGTGGTAAGGAGTTGCACCACCAACCCAAAGGTGCATGTTTGAATCCACCAGCTGCCTTGAGAGAGAGAGAGATGGGCAATCTCCTGCCATGCTATTAACTGCCTCTGAAAAGCTGCTGGAGGGACAACTATGAGTGGTTCGGAATTGATGGTATGGAACACCAACAGTTCCCATACTGTGGAGGTTAACATATCCTGGTGTCCACAGTGCTGCACCCCATCATCTGTGACATAAATTGTCTCTCTTCCCTATGTGGCGACCCTCGGACTACAGTGTGCTAACCAGCTCACCTCCCTTCTCTCAGCCCAAGCCTATCCCTCGCACAGCCTCGCACAAACCACATTGCCTGGTGGGGCCCAGTATACTTAAATAAAGTCGTTCGATAGACCTGTCAAAAAAAAAAAATGTCTCTCTTCCCATCAGTCCCCCCTTACTCCTATCTTTTTCTGTGGGTTCTGTGGTTCACGGGAAGGTCACACAGACACTCAGAAAACCTTCAGAGAAATGGCTTATGTTGCTGTGGAAGATGTGGGTCGATATATACTTTGAGATTAGTGAGACGGGCCAGGAGCCTTGGCTGCGGTTGTCTCTTGGTTGTCAGAACACCTTGGTCAGGTTAGATGCAATGTCGTAGGTGGATCATTCCTTTATATAGGATCCCAGGAGAAATAACCCCAGGGTAATGTCTTCTACTAGGGTGGGACTTGATCCCACCTTAATCCTATCTCTTTAATATGATGACTTATCTCATTCTTT